AAGGTTTCATCGAAATCAGTCCAGTATTTTCGGAGCATGGGCTCGGCTGCAACAGATTTTAGGGGTTTTGGACCGATTTGGACCACTTAGGGTGGACCAATAAAAAATTATCCAAAACGGCACCGTTTCAGACCACGGTGCGTCTAATGGTGAAGGTTTCATCGAAATCGGTCCGGTAGTTTCGGAGCATGGGCTCGTCTGCAACAGATTTTAGGGGTTTTGGACCGATTTGGACCACTTAGGGTGGACCAATCAAAAAATTATCATAAACGGCACCGTTTCAGACCACGGCGCGTCTGATGGTGAAGGTTTCATCGAAATCGGTCCAGTATTTTCGGAGCATGGGCTCGTCTGCAACAGATTTTAGGGGTTTTGGAACGATTTGGACCACTTGGGGTGGACTAATAAAAAATTATCAAAAACGGCACCGTTTCAGACCGCGGCGTGTCTAATGGTGAAGGTTTCATCGGAATCGGTCGGTCCAGTAGTTTCGGAGGATGGGCTCGTCTGCTTTTAAGGGGGTGTATGGTTCTGGACCATTTTGGTCCGATTGGTCCAGTCAGAGTGAACCAATCGCCAAAAAACGAAAAACGGCACCTATATAAGTTCACTGCTATTGAATGGTGAAAGAATTATCAAAATCGGTCCAGTAGTTACTGAGCATGGGCTCGTCTGCTAATCTCGTCTGCTTTTTAGACACTCCCCTTGAAACTCTACCGCAGGGGCTCTGTTGCGTGCGAGGGTCAAGTCGATCCGAGGCGTCCCGAATCGGGGCTGAATCTGGGCTGAATATGGGCTGCCTTGACGAACATTTGAACGCCGTCCGATCTCCGGGCTGTCCCGCGTGGCAAGCCAAGCCGCAAGCGGCCGGCGTGGTTATGCAGTTGAGAGACGCTGTAATGTATAGCAGGGCCTCGGCTAACATGTTAACTGGTGGGCCAAATGGCCCACCACTGACCCGAAATGGCCCACCAGCCTCAAAGATTTGGCCCACCAGTAATTTTCCGAAAAATCTAAGTTTTCACATTTTTCATATTTCAAATTGAATTAGCAGATCTTATTGTACATTTTCAGGCTGTAAAGTACCCATCGGTGAAACATATTCTTGTGAAAAAAAAATCAACCTCTTGTTTGCATATCCTCTTAGGGTAAAAAGTGAGCTATAGTGGACTAAGTGGACTAAGCCTCGGTCACACTTCACCGGATTGGACCAATGGACGAGAAACGGACGGCGTCCGGTGATGTCCGGGGGATGTCCGTTCGTTTCCGTTGGACGTCCGTTTCTCATCCGTTCATATCCGTTCCATGTCCGGTGGTGTCCGGTGTGCTCAACCGGACACCACCGGACATGGAACGGATATTAACGGATGACAAACGGACGTCCAACGGAAACAAACGGACATCACCGGACGCTGACAGTTCTCGTCCGTTTCTCGTCCGTTGGTCCAATCCGGTGAAATGTGACCGAGGCTTTAAATTTTATGCAATAATCGCGAAAGACGTCTGCCTCTGTCAAGTACAGATAGTGTCGGCGGCTTCCAGCTGATCGAGGTCTGCGAGAGTTCTTGCAAGCTTTCCGATCGATCGAGTGGTTGCAGTCACATATAGCATCTGCCGCAGACCAGTCGGTTACAAGAAAAACTACGAATAAAGAACAGACCAGTTCAGACGGTCGGGGATAAGCATGCGAGCGATCTCAGACGGCTCGCCGATAGACACGATATAAGCCAGAGTCAAACTAGAGGTAGTGTCGGCGACTTCCAGCCGATCGAAGTCTGTAAGCGATATTATGCGTCTTCACGACCGGTATGATGCTTGCAGTCACACATCTGACCAGTTGGACGAATTTCGAACCGTTCACAGTCAGCGTTCCAAAATTTCTCATTTGGGCTGAAGATGACACTCAAGAATAAGAATGGATAATTTTCCACTCTCACATTTTGGGTGGCTCGAATTTTCCACTCAGACACCCAAGAGAAATCTGAATTTGGGACACTGTTCACCAGAAGTGAACGTGTATATAACTTAGTTTTTTTTAAAGAAAATATCAGGGTTGCGCAGTGCGCTTGGGCTTTTGAGTCAATTATTTTCCATGCGACACCAATAGGCTTATTAACCCTCGCCCATGTAGGGGGGGTTGGTGCAACCCCCCCCCCCTGAGGTTTTTCGGAAATAGTGCAAAAACGGCGGCGCGCAGCGCCGCCAAATTTTGGGTACCTTATGGGGCAAACCTTGCGCATCTTTTGATAAAAAAAATTTGACCGGGTCATGTCAGGTCACGGAGTTATGACGTCACAAAGGGAACAGCCTCCGGCCGGATTTTCACAAACTGAGTGCCAACGCCCGAGGTTTCCTGCCGGTGGTACGGACATCGGTTGATGGATCGTGATGAAACTTCCCATGCATGTTGGGGCAAGTATTGGCTATCATATGGTATAAAAAACTTGACCGGGTCAGGTCAGGTCACGGAGCTATGACGTCACAAGAGGAACAGCGTCCGGTACTATTTTTGAAAAGCGCCCGAACCACTATTTTGCTAATTCTTGTCACCTCAATGGGAATATGCAGCAATATTAGCTTCTATAGGGAGCAAATGGACCTCCCAAATCCAAAAATACAATCAGATTTCAAAAATTTAAATTTTGGTTTTTCTAATTTCTGCCGCCGACTGTGACCTTGCCGACTTCCGGCGCTCCCAACGCGCCATTTTTAGAGCTAGGGAAACGAAATACATACCAAACGATAGAGAATTGATCAAGGAATACGATAGTGAAGGTTTTAAGTCGATATCTCTCACCGTTTTGCCGCAATCGCCGCGGAAAGTTGAAAAAGTCTATTTTTTCCGAAAATTTGACCTTTGACCGGTCAAAAGTAGGTCAAATGTTGACCTAGGACCAAAAAATATACCACCAATCGCGAGATCTCGGCGAGAGCAATCCGTTGGTCTTTTCCGCTAAGCTCTACGACGCTCCGTTTTCAAACGCCAAGGGGGGGGGTCGCACCAACCCCCCCCCCCCTGCATGGGCGAAGGTGGCAGATCGCCGTTTACGGGCGAGGGTTAATGATCATTTTCAGAGATGTTGGGCATAGGCGGCGGAACGGGGAGGGCACCGGGGCACAGTGCCCCCCTTTGATTTTGGCATTTTAACATTAGCTCTATGGGCGTTGCATGGAAAGAATGGGACCAAAAGTCGGCAGTGCCCCCCTTTAATTGAAGGTGTTCCGCCGCTACTGATGTTGGGGTTGCTGCTACAACCCCCTTTTGGGGTTCCTGCTACAACCCACTTTATATATAAAGTTGCACTCGTGCTGTTCACAATTCCTCCCGATCCACCCAACAACGCCCGATCCCGTCCGACCGCTTCCGAATCTCCAACTAGTCGGCGAGCGATCCACTCACGGCCGTGTTATCGTCCAAAGTTTTATAATCTGCGTCAATATTGTGTGCATACTTGTGCCACGGAATATATAGTCTACGACATGTCGATATGTCGATATGTACTACGATATGTCGTAGACTATATATTCCGTGCTTGTGCGATTTTATGTGCACCACGGGAGTATCACCACTGAGAGGGTTGTGGGTCCCTACTCTCTCTCTCTCTCTCTCTCTCTCTCTCTCTCTCTCTCTCTCTCTCTCTCTCTCTCTCTCTCTCTCTCTCTCTCTCTCTCTCTCTCTCTCTCTCTCTCTCTCTCTCTCTCTCTCTCTCTCTCTCTCTCTCTCTCTCTCTCTCTCTCTCTCTCTCTCTCTCTCTCTCTCTCTCTCTCTCTCTCTCTCTCTCTCTCTCTCTCTCTCTCTCTCTCTCTCTCTCTCTCTCTCTCTCTCTCTCTCTCTCTCTCTCTCTCTCTCTCTCTCTCTCTCTCTCTCTCTCTCTCTCTCTCTCTCTCTCTCTCTCTCTCTCTCTCTCTCTCTCTCTCTCTCTCTCTCTCTCTCTCTCTCTCTCTCTCTCTCTCTCTCTCTCTCTCTCTCTCTCTCTCTCTCTCTCTCTCTCTCTCTCTCTCTCTCTCTCTCTCTCTCTCTCTCTCTCTCTCTCTCTCTCTCTCTCTCTCTCTCTCTCTCTCTCTCTCTCTCTCTCTCTCTCTCTCTCTCTCTCTCTCTCTCTCTCTCTCTCTCTCTCTCGCTCTCTCTCTCGCTCTCTCTCTCGCTCTCTCTCTCGCTCTCTCTCTCGCTCTCTCTCGCTCTCTCTCTCGCTCTCTCTCTCGCTCTCTCTCGCTCTCTCTCTCGCTCTCTCTCTCGCTCTCTCTCTCGCTCTCTCTCTCGCTCTCTCTCTCGCTCTCTCTCTCGCTCTCTCTCTCGCTCTCTCTCTCGCTCTCTCTCTCGCTCTCTCTCTCGCTCTCTCTCTCTCTCTCTCTCTCTCTCTCTCTCTCTCTCGCTCTCTCTCTCGCTCTCTCTCTCTCTCTCTCTCTCTCTCGCTCTCTCTCTCTCTCTCTCTCTCTCTCTCTCTCTCTCTCTCTCTCTCTCTCTCTCTCTCTCTCTCTCTCTCTCTCTCTCTCTCTCTCTCTCTCTCTCTCTCTCTCTCTCTCTCTCTCTCTCTCTCTCTCTCTCTCTCTCTCTCTCTCTCTCTCTCTCTGAAGAGTCGGGGGGGTCGAGCCCCGTTTTTTTCTTACATTTTTTGAATGCCATCCTGACGTTTTTTTGCAGAATAAAGTGGCCGAAATCTGGGGAGAAATCGAAAATTGGGGGGGGGGCTATGGCTACGAAGGTCAGTCCATGTCGCTGCCCAAGTGGCCCACCAGTCAAAATTCCTTAGCCGAGGCCCTGATGTATAGGTACGCACCGAATGGTTATCGATGGCTTTTTCAGCCCAATGCTTTCCACGTCATTGCCCGAAATGGTTTTGTGAGGTCGAAACATCCTTGTTAAACTGTAAAATTATCACTTTTGTGCTTCCATCCTAATCCGTTTATCGTTTTGCACTCGAATATGATGTGCTCCGTCGCTCCTTGAAGACTCCGTAGCTCGTTAGGTGCCTATCACTTGCACTATCTCACTCCCAAACTTTTTTAATTGTAGGTACTTTTTTAATTGCTGAGGTGTTTGCCTACCCTGAAAGGTTCGAGGCGCTGGTGTAATTTTTCGGACAGTTCTTAACTGTGCCAAAAACGTTGCATTTATTGTAGGTAGGTAGTAGCATATACAATCAGGTGCCGTTCATACTTTATAGTATAGGTAATAGGTATGTTATAGTATAGCCCGGTGATGTTGTATGTAGATTACAAAATTGCATCGTAGCCGGCAGCACCGCGTCCAAGCCGCTGACTCGTGCTATGATTGGGCCTAGAGTACATTTTCTCCCTTTCGCACAGCCAATCGGCGTATGTGCCTAGTTCGTCAGTCCTGGTGCTCTAGCTCCTGCACGAACGTGAGGTCAGTGCCCCTCAGCTTGTGCTCTAGCCACGCGTCGAACCTGGCCGTCATCTCGGGGCTGAAGTGGTTCTTCCAGTCGCCCGTCTTGCCTTTCCTGATAAAGTTCCCGCGGTCTTGGTACATGAAACCCGCCATCTTGCCCCCCTCCATATTGACGTAGGGGTTCTTCTTGAAGTTGTCGATGTGGAGATGTTCCGCCAGCTTGTCCACTTGGTCGTCGGTGAACGTTTTTCCCAGGAAGGTGGCCACCTTGCGGATCTGCGCCCTCAGGTCCTTCTTCATGTCCTCGTAGAAGAGGAAGCACATGTTTGGGTGGTGTCGTAGATTCCATGCCTCAATTATGTGGTCGACGATGGGGGTTGCGATGACTTCCCCGTTCATGAACATCTCCATGAATTCCTGCGAAAGAAGCCGCACGTCACAAGTGGTAGACGCGATTTACTTTTAGGGCATGTAGCCCGATTTCATGTTCTCAGCTTTCTACAACTTTCTACTCCAAAATAAGACGCATTAAATGAGCATTAACCTTGCTTGCAGCCTAAGCCAACTACTTTCCTTGCTGCTTTCACCATTGCGGCAGGTATTCCCGATAGAACTATCCCTCCATTATGCCAATGTATGCCCATGCTTTAAGGCCCTTGCCTCGAGGTTTCCGGTGAAGTCGACCATCTTGATCAGGCGGCAGTGATTGTAGAAGGAGACACAGGCGTCCTTGGGGTTCCTGGCCACGTAGACCACCTTGCAGACGTCCAGCAGGCGCGGGTTGTTGAGCGACATGGGCAGGTGGGTGTTGACGAACGCCGGTGACGGCCGCACCTGGACACCGTCCGCCGGCGGCCTGCTGCCCGACGGACCGCCGCCACCGGGGCGTGCAGGCATCAGCTTGGCCCTCACCGCCTTATCCGACAGCAGGTGGAAGTCGATGAAGCTCCACCTGGGAAGGAAGGGACCTGGGGTCATGAATATGCCCGATTAGGCAAGGCATAGACGAAGTCCTGGGCCGTGGATTGCATATCCATGGCACTGTTCTAATCTGCTTTATTTTTTCGCAGCATATCCTATTGACTGGTAAAATGATTAGTTACTGATTTATTGCTCAGTTATCGGTCTACCGAATTCTGTTTATATGGCTGAAAAAGAGCAGGCGTCTGGACAGGTCTGGTCAGTGACGTACGGCGACGTAGAAAGGTCCTACATACGCGCACCTGTCCGGTTTGAGCGGCGCCTTGGCGCGCTCGTAGTCGAGGTCGTTGGCGATGAGCCACACCATCTCCAGCGTCCAGTTGGTGCCGCACTTTGGCGGCGTCACCACCCAGGTATCCCGCGCGTCCAGCGGGTGGTTATAGAGCTCCTCCAGCTCCCGGTCGGTGGCCGAGGCAGCCGACTTGTAGCCCCAGTGGTTACACGACACCAGGCCGTTGGGCAACCCGACGAAATTCCGCGCCACCCTCTGCTGGACATCGTCGCTCGGCGGCAACAGCTTGAACGGGAACGGCCTGTTCTCATTGGGTGACGCCATCCTGTCAACGGGGGTGGCGTCATCTGTCAGCTGGGCGACACTGATAGGGGACGTGACTGTACCGGCTCATGACGGTCTTCGACCGGCGAGCGGAGGCCGTCGAATGAGATATTTGATCATCTTTGCTTTGCTGATTTTAGTGATTGCTAGAGATCCGTGTCCCATTCCGCCGAGATGCAAATATCGTCAATTTCGGGAATTGGACAGGTAGCCATTAATTTCGCTGCTCGATTGCTTGTCGTGGACTCGTGCATCATTAAATATACGGATTACGGAACCTTCTCATGGGCCTTATCCAAACAAGTGGAAGTGGCAATAGGGCACCGCAACTCGGCAGTTGTTCCAAGCATATGGCTTACCTGGTCTCTCGTCAAGACCGGCTCCCTTTTCGTTGACTGGCTCCGCACAGCGACCCTGATGCTCCGCGCCGGTGGATACGGCCCTGCTGTCTGACTGCCGCCTGCCGTCGCCGCCTCTCCTCGAGACGATAGTTATACACAGCGGTGCACGGTGTAATGGCTGGCGAACTAACGCAAACAAATTGAGCTGCAAAATTCCTCTATGTTTCCAGCGTCATTTATTGATTCGAGGAGCAAGGTTGATAATGTTAACTGTTAAGGCTGCTCTGCTTTTTTTGCCGCATCTCTGATTTTCTAATTTGTGATGGAAGTGCATTTCGTTTCTGCCTGTTCCGCTGATTCGAACGATGGCTCTTATCCGCTATGTGCATAAAAGCTACTAGGGCATTAGTCTTAGTTTAAACACAAAACTTAGCAGGGTACGCCATCTCAACAATTTGTTGCCAGGGACTTACTACGACGGGCTCCTTTAATAAGTCCTTACTATTTCTCCTTTAACCGGTTGATTGGTCACACTGTGCGCCACTCTCGGCCCGACGACCCATGAGGATATGACTTGCAAAAAATACAGCACTTGGCTCGTCGCCAAAGGCACTCCACGTAGGTCTGGGGCGCATCCTATCCTATGGTAGCAAAAATAACCATCTCGACCGATAACGACTGTATTGCTGGTCAAACAGTGCTCTGGGACTGTAGACTGTAGACCATTAACTCCTATCGTGAGTGGAGTTTCTCCAAGGGTTCATGGTCACAACGTATCACAACGTATGAGCGGCCGGTGAATGTATGACACCGCTGCTCCGGCAGCAGCGGGGGGCTCGTCATGATGACCCTACCGTATACAGAGTCCCGCCCCCTGCGGCTATACCCCTGTCCTTGGCAGAAGAGCGCACAAAAAGTGGCCTCGTCACCGGCGTCTGATGCAATCACAACGACGATTGGTGTGCGACGTGCGCAGTTGCGCACATCGTGGAAGTGAGCTGAGTGGTTCATGGCTTTCTTCAAAAGTTCAAATCCTTTCCCGAGTAATGCGTTTCCGGGATTTTTTCATTTCATCTCGCGGTCGCGTCCTCGTTCGCTTAGTGCTCGTGTTGTATTGGTGGCAGTACAGGGCACATATCCAAAGTACGACACTTGAGGTTTATCTCACCATAACCAACATAGCATCATTGCGCAATAATTGAGTTTTTATTGCACACATCTCCAGCGCCACGTTACTTTTGATGTTACGTATTCAGTGTGCTACAACCACCTACCAGTGCACATATCGTTAGGTGCATGCAAGAACATCTTACTTATGTCGCAGTATGTCAAACGACTGCGAAAGCGGACGGGTGAAACGGACGGCTTTTACGATTAAAGAACGTCAAGTCGGGCACAGCCCTATAAATGTCGTCTATGCCCCATCCACGCCAATCACGACATATTGTGAAAAAAGGTGCACAAATGACGAACAACATCACATGTAACTTAATCACGCCTATCATATCAAAATGCTGCCGACTATAAGTGACCAGTCCCCTGTGACGATTTATGGGTTATCGGAAAAGACAGGGCCCCTGTCTTTTCCGATAACCCATAAATCGTCACGGCACACAGCGCAATGGCCAATGAGTGTGCCGAGTGGTTCTCTTTTCTGAACCGCTGAGCGCGATGTCTGAATGTCAGACAAATCTTGAATATGCTGACCATCTACAAACCGCTACCACTTGGTTTGACCCGTTTGGGGATTCTGAGCTTTTAAGTTTGGGCGCCGATGACCACCGCAGTCAAGGCGCCCTAAAACATCATCATCGTTCGTCATGAGCTCTAAACTGTTGGCCGAAAACTATATTCAAGATCGGCCTCTGGCGACCGAGTGTCTCAGAGTCGACGTCATTTGCAGCTGGTATCATACTATACTGTGACGTTATCCGCGGCTTGTGTGACGTTGTGTTAGGAGACGACTCGGTATCACTGGCAGCGTTGTCAGTTCTCCAGTACGTTGCCGTTTCGTTGGTGAGGAAAGCTGGCATCCTGTTTGATGTACGGCTTGTCGCCGGGCACAGACGGCTGAAACGGAAAAAATTAGTGGGTGAAAATTACAAGGGATTAGGGAATCGAAGGTTGATGCAAATGAGAATTGGTACCGACGTTAAGAATTTGGCCCTGTGGGTCGAGAAAGTTTTCCCATGGGAAACATGGAAGTTGTACGGAACAGTTTATATTAGCCTTGGACGGAACTTGGTATAACGGGTCAGCAGGCGGTCCTAACATCATCTCCTCGGCTTCGTCCACTCACGATCATCTGCGGCGCCGAGATGACAAACAGCTCGGTGGGCGTGCTCTGGCGGTCGGCGCCGCGCCACGGACCCCCGTTCGGCGCGCTGGGCGCGTACGGGTGCGCGCTGAAGTGGTCCAGGTTGTTGTTGCCGGCCGTACCTGAGAAAAGCGGAGAGTAGCGGGGTTTCAAATACAATCCTGCAAGCAAATCCACCTGGATAGGTCCAGTGTGAGCATTGAAACCCGTAAAGTTTACTTGTTCACTTGTTCACTGAAAATGTCAAAATAAGACCATTTTTAAGAAAAAGAAATGCATCAGTTTGTTAGCGTATTCTTTTACCGAGCTCCCCAGGGCACCACTGCTCGCATATTTCAGGGGATTGCATTTCAGTATTGCATCGTTCATTGATTTTGCCGCTGGCCCGACCGTTGGCATGCACCGTTGCACCGCTAACACAGGACGCACCTGCCACTGACCTCTGAAATGCCACTTGCCTCTGGCACCCCGTTCCACTACTGGCCCTGGAACACGTACCGTTCGGGCGCTGCTCCATGATGCTGATCTGGGAGGTCCGCACGTGAAACGGGAAGTTCTTGTTGGCCGCCGTTGGACGCGTCAGAATCTGGAAACAACGGCAAAGCGCATTAGCGACTGGAGATTTCCGCATCGGGTGTAAGCATAACACAATCATTTCAGGGATTCGACCCATGAACGGCTGTATTTTCCAGAACTGGGTATGTGACTGGTCCCCCGGGACCGGGTCGATCCGTTACATTGACTCACCAGAAAGAACACCTGTCCGCACCAGGCGATGCCGTGCTCCACGCCGTTGACCACCTTCTCTCGCACCCACTTGTCGATGAGGTAGTTGGAGCACATGATGACCATCGGCGCCGAGAGAAACCTGACAGACCAGCGGCAACACGGGTGTGGTTATACGATTTACGATCCGGTTTGGTGGCCTCTGCTGGATGGTCTCGCTAGCATATTGTGATGAGCATTTAAAGGGTTAGCGTCTTAGTATCTGCATGTGGTCGATACTCGATACAGAGTCTGCTCGTATGCAAGTATGCGTTTGAAATGTGTGCCGCGTGCTGGCTTCGACATTGTCGACTGTCGTTGACATTGATCCATTGACGCTAATAACAGAAAACAGCTCTGCTGTTTGAAGCTGTTTTCCGAGAACGGTTTGAACGGCCGAGCTTTGATGTTTCCAGGGCCTAAGTCGATAATCGTTGAAGTGTTGTATCGGACATTATCAGTCATCAAACGCCAGTTCGTCAAATCGATGGCATTATAAACGTGCCCACCAGTGCACAATGCTTCACTCACCAGACGGTGTAGTACATGGAGAAGGGCAGGTAGAAGCTCCACTTTTCCGGGTAGTGTTTGATGGTGAACGAGGTGGAGTAGATGAACATGGCCCAGCCGAGCAGCTTCAGCAGCATCAGGCCGTAGCCGCCGGGCGACTCGTACAGGTAGAGCACCTCGCCGGGGTCGAAAAACTGCGGCACAGAGACATTATAGGTACAGCACCTACCCCGTACCCGAGGTCGAAAAACTGCAGCGCGGAGACCTTAACTACATTAGCTTGGGCGTGGAAAAAACGCAGCACACGGGGCACAAACACATACAGGGGCAGCACCTGATCTGGGACGAAAACTCGTTTCTTTTAATAGAGTCTCAGTTGTCACGTAACGATCGCCACAGAAATAGCTGATCTGATCGGTCGCTGTAACTGCTCCCGAGCGAGAATTGGAACTGTTGGCGATACATTCTCAGAGGCTCGGACGCTCGTCCCGCCGCGCTGTTTGAGGATTGATGAAATCTTTCGATCTGTCGAGTGTCGCGCCGCATAATTAGCGCTCACAATGGTTCGTATTTCCAGACTCCGCAGTCACCCTGGCAGGCTATATATGTACAGCTCCATTAGCGGAATTGTTACGTTTTAATGCAGTATTTGCTTGGTCAATGGCTGCGTGACACACGCGAAATAAACCAGCAGTGTGACAGAGCGATGCCTGAGCCTCGCATCAATGTCATAGAGCACAACTGCCTGAACCAGGGTTGCACGGAGACGTTGAACATGCGCATTCAGAGCTCAGATTGGCACGCACATGAAATAAAATGTGGATTCGACAAACTTTTGGTTTGTCGCTAGCCTACAACAATGCTTGTCATGGGACATGGAGTGTTCATCGTTAGTAACGATTTCGAAAGACAAAACATGTCTTTTCACATTCGATTGTCAACGGATTGTGTTTCAACGCCTGAACAGTTGGGCAAAAGCTTGGACCGGCCAACCCTTTGTCGAAAAATCCAGCAATCCATAACCGTCAAAAGCGCTCTTGAAACCTTTTGAACAGCAGTTGCTGAAATGTGTGGGCTGAATTGTTTGGATCGAGCGCTCACGGCTGCCGCGGACAGTCAGAGTGTCCAAAGGTACTTGGGCCCTGGACTCTCAAACTTCAAAGGCACTGAGTGGCTGCCATCGGCCATCCAACTGCTGACAGCCTGGCCACTAACACTGCCGACCGCTCGCGCTGGTCTGCCATCGACCGCATCCCCTGGTCGATCCGGCTTACCGACCTTCGGCAGACAAGCCCAGTGGCCACCACCTGGCTCGTCAATTATGTACGCCACAATCGCTCTCGCTCGACCGCCGCTCGTCAGCAGTGCGCAGAGCTGACCCCGTCGGTCTCATGGACTCACCACCTGCTCGTAGACGAAGAGCACGGCCCAGGTAGCTACGTAGAGGGCGAGGAAGATGGTCAGCTTGATGGCGCTGGCCTGCCGCAGCCTCCCGCGAGTGATGGTGTAGCCCTTAGCGCAGAGCAGCAGCAGAAGCAGGAAGGTGAAGTCGCTGCCAGCCTCCAGAACACGACCTGCGCAGGGCAGATGAAGAGTAATCTTGGAACAGATCACACAGAGAGAAAAGGTCATACGTACAAAGCAACCACCGTTCAAATAAAGCAGCCGCTTCAAAGTAAGTTTTCAGTTTTGACCATCCTGTTGTATCGATCATTTGGAGCCGTCTTCCTGAATCTCCTAAGGCCATCGAGGGAAACCGGTACAGAAGTTTCCTTACCGATCAGTTTGGACTTTGGCAGGCCGACGCCGTCCTGTGCGTATCGGGCGTAGGCGGCGCAGAGGAGCGCCAGGCCGGCCGTCTGCAGCAGCAGCGACGCCATGAACAGCTTGTAGGTGGTGTGGAACAGGCCCCGGTTCCTCAGCTCCACTGCCGGTCGTCAGGATGGGAGGTGAGAGTCACATATCGGGAGGGGCTGGTACTGGGGCTGTGGTTAAATATCAGACAATTGCTGCTGGGTATAAGAGATAAGGACACATTACGTTTACGTCCTTGATGAGGGGTAACTGGATTTCGTCATGAATGAAAGGGGAACTGCGATGGAACGCGCATATTTCTATGGTCCTGGGGCCTACCAACGCCGACAGGCACTCGTTGGTGCTCCGTTTTACGTTGTGGGCCGAGCTCGCTCCGCATGGCTCGATACTAGTAACGTCGGTGATAAGTGGGCGAGGCTATGCTGCTAGCGGCACTGACAGCGGGCACTCGGCCCGATCAATATGCTTTACACCGGATACCGGGGGGTGTATTCCACCGCTCGGACACGGTCGAACAATCCAACCGTACCGAACGACCGCCAGACGGTCCAGCATGACCCAACCGTAATACCGTTTGACAAATGCCCTCGGTATTTCTGTCTAAAATACGTACTATAATAAAATAAAATGCGTACTTAGTACTGTAAATAAATATGCACCTACTGTCCAACAAATTTTGTAATCAAAACTAATCTTCAATACCGTCCGACAGTGGGCCTCAAAATTACCCGTGTGCATTCCCATCGAAAGATTAGGGGCCTTGCCGATGTTGCACTCACCCTACTACGTCCATGAACCCCTTATGACGCCGTATGAACCAGACGGCACAGACCGATGCACTTTAACGGTGTGTTGTTAGTTACGACACAAACTCACTTCCCGGTAACGCTTTTGCTGTATTCTTTGTGAGCAATGAGGGCCGTGCTTTTGGATAGATATCGATGTGGCCGAAGCGTGTGTGTAATCAACGGTATGCCTTTGTTTACTCCAGCAATGATTTCTTACCGGATAAGATGATGCTTGCGAAGAGGACGACTAGCTGGCCGCACAGCATGCATATGTTGGTCCGCAGAATATCTGCCGGCATAGGCGCACATAAACTCTCAATCCCCGTATTTTGATGGTCGCCGATGACCACCTTACCCCGGGCCCCCTAAGCCCCCCTCCCCCCCAAAAAAACAATCAGCATCATCAGCATCGTCAATCCCCGTTTGGTTTTGCCTACCTTATTTCTGACGCTCTACATGATCTACATTTGTTTAATTTCAACGTAATTAAGAAATGATACGTAATTAGTTTGAGATCATTGTGTGATGCAATTTTAATACTTTAATTATGGATGTGTTGTAATTACAGCCTGATGAACTGTAACCAATCAGGCACAAGCGGTTTTCAGTTCAACAGTGTGTCGTGTATGATAGTCCTTGCTTTAGTGTGCCTTGTTTAGTTGTTACCCATGCATGTTGACGGACACTTACACATTTCGTCGGCTGAGAAGTGGTATAACCAGGAGTTCTCCTCGGGACCATTAGTCATCAGAAAGTCATACTTCAGGTCGAGACCCTGCGACGGATCAGGCGAGTCAGTCAGGGTTGTACGTCGGACCTACATACACTGAAAACAATTTAACCCAAGGCTGGCGAGTAAACCGGTGTTTTACGGGTACCCCTATCTATATTACTATTTGAGGAGGGTGCGTCTGTCCGTTACCGAGGTCCCGACTTGGTGGTGCTTTGCGTGGACTACAGGCCAGACCGTTGCACCTAGCCCGGTGAAATTTGCACAACTTATAGATCAAAGATAAGCGACGTGCCTTTGAGGGGTCTCAGCTCGATCGGGTCGTTAGTGAGCGCGTGGCGCGTGCTCAAAAAGTGCAAATTCGCGTCATAGACTATACATGTATAAATCGGCTTGCAAAATCGGGCGAAAATGGCTAAATTTGCCCGACACGGGTCCGATCCCCGTGCAATATCTCGGTAACCGTGGGCCGGATCGGCACGGGGAAAACAGCATCATGTAGATAATTGAACAGGTTATCGAATGATATGCAGTACAGGGGATGGCACGTGCCACGTGCACCCGTGAGGGTGCTTTGGTTGAAAAATTGCGGTTTTTGACGGATTTTGGAATTGATTTTATTTTTAGGTGACCATTAAACGGAGCGAGTTGGAACAGCGCCTATTGGCAAGAGAAATGTACCGCCTCTCATGGAAAAATTGTGGAAAGCTGATTGATCCAAATCAAGGTGGTACAAATCACGGGAGAAAATGGTGTTTGTCAATTTTGTGCCACTTTATTAATCACACGGGTCTTGCTCCATGATCTGATATCTCTGGCAATTAAAAATGGCACCGTTGGAAAGAGCATTCAATTCTGTCCAATATTCACTCATCATTTTTGCATGATGAGCAACAGTATTCTTAAAAATGTAAATGTTCCAAACCATTACATTGTCATTTTTAGCGAAATTCATCGATGGCCCTCAAAGGACTTTACGCCAGTTTTCAAATCATTCTTGAAAGCATGATAATACGACACGGGCACCTCGATGCGATGTATCTTTTTTGTTTTATTACAAAATACTTGGCCTTCAAAAAGGAATCGAACGAAATGGATACCAACCAAATCGATACAGACCAACCCAATACCCACGGGTCAACAATAACCCTTCTTCGCGTTGCGGAGCACGCGGGTAACCCTAGTCCGCAACCATTTTTAATCACCCTCCCAGGAGTAGTGCTAGGTCCCATTGCGGTGTAGTCGTACTTGCTCTGAGCGGATATAACCGTTGTCAGCGAACAAGTCCGCTAAGAGCAGGGACGACTACACTGCAATGGGACCTTACTGTACTCCTGGGAGGGTGGTTAAAAATGGTTGCGGACTAGGGTTACCCGCGTGCTCCGCAACGCGAAGAGGGGTTGTTTTTGACCCGTGGGTATTGGATTGGTCTGTGTCGATTTGATTGGTATCCATTTCGTTCGATTGCTTTTTCACGGCCAAGCATTTTGTAATAAAACAAAGATACATCGCATCGAGGTGCCCGTGTCGTATTATCATGCGTTCTGCTTAAGAATGATTCGAAAACTGGCGTGAAGTCTTTTGAGGGCCATCGATGAATTTCGCTAAAAATGACAATGTAATAGTTTGGAATATTAACATTTTTAAGAATACTGTTGCTCATCCTGCAAAAGTGAAGACTGAACCTTGGACAGAATTGAATGCTCTTTCCAACGTTGCCATTTTTTAACTGCCAAAGATATCAGATTATGGAGTAAAACCATTTTGATAAACAAAGTGGCACAAAATTGACAAACACCATTTTCTCCCGTGATTCGTACCACCTTGAATTGGATCAATCAGCTTTTCACAATTTTTATATGATAGGCGGTACATTTCTCTTGCCAACAGGCGTTGTTCCAACTCGCTCTGTTAAACGGTCACCTAATAATAAAATCAATTCCAAAATCCGCCCAAAACCGCAATTTTTCAACAAAACTGCCCTCCCCGGTGCACGTGGCGCGTGCTATCCTCTATATCGCACACCATTCAATTGCCCATTCAATCATCTACACGATGCTGTTTTCCCCGTGCCGGTCGGACCCCTGGTCACCAAGATATTGCACGGGAACTGGACCCGTGTCGGCCAAAATTAGCCGTTTTCGCCCGATTTCGCACGCCGATTTATACATGTAAAGTCTATGACGCGAATTTGCACTTTTTGAGCACGCGCCACGCGCTCCCTATCAATCCGATCGAGCTGAGACCCCTCAAAGGCACGTCGCGCATCCTTGATCTATAAGTTGTGCAAATTTCACCGGGCTAGGTGCAACGGTCTGGCCTGCAGTCCACGCAAAGCACGACCAAGTCGGGACCTCGGTAACGGACAGACGCACCCTCCTCAAATAGTAATATAGACAAGCGGCTGCGCCACTTGCTTTGCTGCGTGGTAGGAAAAAATTGCGGCACCAGCTAATTTGCTTTCGAATGGTGTTCGATTCAAATTGATGTGTCGTCTAGAAGCATAGATATGGACGGAAATGTGAAGAGAATTTAAAAAAGAACTGTTCTGAGGCCTTTGTTGGATGAAATTTGGCTGATACGGGGTAAAGACGGGTCAAAGGGGTCAGCCCCGGTCACTTTGGGTCAGGCCAGGTCACATAGGTCACCTCTCGTCCGCTGGGATCAGCCCGGGCAACTGTTCTGCTTTTGCCTCCACCACTACCCCTACCCCTACCACTACCCCTACCACTACCCCTACCCCTACCACTACCACTACCACTACCCCTACCCCTACCCCTACATCTACCCCTACCCCTACCACTACTACTACCCATACTCCTAACCCTACCCCTACCCCTACCCCTACCACTACCCCTACCACTACCCCTACCACTACCCCTACCCCTACCCCTACCACTACATCTACCCCTACCACTACTACCACCCATACTCCTACCCCTACCACTTCCCATACCACTACCCCTACTACTATCCCTACTACTACCCCTACCACTACTACTATCCCTACCACTACCCCTACCCCTACTACTACTCCTACCACTACCACTACCCCTACCCCTACCCCTACCCCTACCCCTACCCCTACCCCTACCCCTACCCCTACCCCTACCAGCACCGCTGGGTCATGTCAGGTCACAGAATAATTGGATCCAATCAGTACTAAAATATCAGACTTAGAGTGTTCCCAGCCCTGCCCCTATTCGTGCCATTGCATTACGCTTAATCGAATTTGTCGGAAATGGCGCTTTGTGGCATATGTGGCGCACTGCGACAAACGCGGCGCATCTGAACCTGTTGGTTGAGCATGCATCCTGGCACCAAATTGCACCCATATCGGACCATATTTGACAAAACCGTGCGATTTGCGGCAAAAATGACGCCCTGTGACCAATGTGATGCCTTGCGGCAAACGCGGTGCATTTGTAAATTCCTATCACAAACTGTACCCATTTAGCGACAATCAACACATTTTTTCGCCACTTTTCATTCAAATTAAAACCTGCCCATCCGCCAATGCGAGGCACCCGTCGCCGATCGGCATGCATTTAGTCCACAAAGTTCTTCGACCCCGGCTCTCAATGAAGATCTACGAACCGATCAAAATTTCAGTGGCGTTCTTCCGGCGCGCCCCACGCGCGAACCGTGCACCCCAGCGAGTCGGAACCTAGAAAAGGCGCTGACCCGCTCTGTCACCTAGAAGGTGTGCAAATTTCAACCCCCTACGATATACCGTCTGCCCTGTAGGCCGGCTAAATTGAACCCACTACACGGCGTGGCGGACAGACAAACAAACAAACAGATGGATCCTGTTCAAATAGTAAGATAGATAGGGGTACCTGCAAAACACCGGTTTACTCGCGGGCCTTGGGTTAAATTGTTTTCAGTGTACGACTGCCACAATTATAGGCACTAGTCGAGCTGCTTATGCTTAGTAAACAGCAAGTGAGCAGAGATGGTTCGAGGTATGTCATCCTGAAAATTTAAAGGTCTCTTCTAAGTGCTTTCTGCGCTTATCGTGACTGTGGTACCAAAAGTTGTAGTATGAATACAATGGTTTTATTCAACTAAATTCGACCGATATGAGTGTGCACCTGAGGACGAAACAGAAATAACAGATGTTAGCGAGAGCACCACATTCGACAGTAATGGGTGGTTTATCACAGTGACGATGCTCTCCGCCTCCAGCACACGGAATGAGCACTCGGACACCCTCGGTGCGTGCTACGCTCAACCCAATGTAGCTGCGGTCTAAATTATGTTCCGAATTTACCAGGGCAGTACCGTGAACTTTTTCTCAGCTGCAGCAATGACGGATATGGACCAATAACGTTTTATGATAGGAACCTTCTCCCAGTCGCACTTGCTGACTTTTATGGATCACCAGCGGTATACCGACCTTTTCCGAGTCGCAGTTAATGACTGCTATGAACCACAAGTGGTAGTTATACCGACCTTCTCTGAGTCGCAGTTGCTGACGGCTATGAACCACCAGTGGTATACGGACCTTTTCCCAGTCGCAGTTGCTGACGGCTATGAACCACCAGTGGTAGTTATACCGACCTTTTCCGAGTCGCAGTTGCTGACGGCTATGAACCACCAGCGCTCCCTGGAGGAGATGAAGGTGCGGTTGCCGACGCAGAAGTAGGTGGGCTCGCGGCCCGTCTCACGCCTCATCTCGCAGCCACTGAAGGTGCTGAGCTGGGAGCTGAGGTTGATGAACTGGTGGCGCATCGGGTCACTGAGCACCGACAATTTCTCCGAGCACGTCTGAGGGAATGGGAAACAGCACACCGCGTCATGCGTGTGGTGGTGTGGTGGGATTGTCACATTCAAATAGGACAAAACATAACTGTGACAAGATACGTCTGTCGAATCGAGTTCGTTCTGGAGGATCACTTCAAGCCAATGCGTGGACAAAACGGGTTTTGTTCCGTATTAGCATTCATAGTGAACAGTCGTACGGAGTAGTAATGACTTAGCGCAACTCGCTAACAAGGCAAGTTAGTCTTGTATTCCTCAAATGTAGAGCGTGAGCAGCACGCAGTATGCTTGGCACGAGAGAACGACACGACATACGTGTTCCTTATGCATATTTAACCCTCGCACGTGTGCGACGTTTGCCAGCTTCAACGTGTAAGGGGGGGCGGTTGGATCCCCCCCCCCCCCTTGCCGTTTGGCCCCTGATCAAGCTAGAGCTTCGCGGAAAAACGATCGTGCTGCCCGTCACGAGACAAAGCCGATGATACCCAATTTTAAGGACCTAGGTCATTGGTTGACCTTCCAGGTCAGATCAATGACCCAAAAGTCGGGAAAATCGTAACCTGTTAGAAAGTCGTTAAGTATGGCTGCTATGGGTTTTTTTCGGGGTGCTGATCACGAATATCGTGTTAATTTTGATCACAGATGATGTCTTTAAGCATTTAGACGGGTCAGGTCAGGTCAGGTCAACCAGTAGGGGTCTTGACGGGTTTTCGTAGTAGGTTTCAACCGCCTCTGACAGCTTCGTAACATGTTACGAAGGCACCAAAACTACTTCGTAAATGTTCAAATGGTTGCTAAATTCGAATTCAGCTAAAAAAACTAGCCTAGAAACATGTAAAACTCGAAAAAGTGAACCGAGGTCACCAAAGGTCAATGACCTGACCTGACCTTCAGGTGACCTTGACACCCACCCTAATGCATGGGAGCAACATCGAATCAACATGTTTGAACGTTTGAAACCACGAAAAGCTTGCAAACGCGCGGCTAATGCGAGCCGACATACGCCGAATCGCGATTCCGGCCAAACATGGCCTCGAGGAATAGGTCACAGGTCAAAGGTCACTTGAGTCAGGGTCATAAAATTTTCAGAGTAGGTGTAAAATGGTTTAAAGGGACCCTCCCACCTTAACATTAGATTTGAGTTGAGATAGCCAAAATGGGGTCCCTGGCTCACAATTACCGGTTTCGGCACTCACAACATCGAGAAATGCCTTAAATCGGAAATATTGAATTTCAAAATTGCAGCATTTTGATTCAGAGGGGCTAATGCTTAGGTATACCCCTCTGAATGTGTGACGTCAGCGCAGATATCTAACGATTTTTAAATGTTTGACTAAAACGTTTTGTAGCACGCGGTGGTATATGCTATTTGCGCGCAACATCTGCCGCAAACGCCGCACTTCTAAAATAAAGTCGCTAGAAACAGCGGAGATCCCAAAAAAGTAAACAAAAGTAAAAGTCTAATATCTTGAAAACCGGTGAATATTTTTCGGTGAAATTTGGTAGATATTCGTTTTCGCTCTTTCTGAACCGAGCGACATTACTTTCATGCCAATTCATTAACTTTTTTGAAGGTGGGAGGGTCCCTTTAACTCGACGGTACTGAAAGTTTGGTCGCGATCGGCCGATTTTAGCGCGAGTTATTCGCGAAAAACCATGTGGTGGTCCATCCGAACCACTACACATGCGAGGGTTAACCCTCGCCCGTATTGGTGTTTTTCCAGCCGCAAACGTATAAGGGGGGGGGGGGGTCCGTTGGACTCCCCCTTGCCGTTTCGCCCCTGATCGAGCTAGAGCTTCGCGGAAAAAACTAGCGTGTTGCCCGTGACGAGAGGAAGCCGATGATACCCAATTTTAAGGTCCTAGGTCATCGGTTGACCTTCCAGGTCAGGTCAATGACCCAAAAGTCGGGAAAATCGAGACCTGTTAGAAAGTCTTAAAGCGTGGCTGCTATGGGGTTTTTCGGGGTGCTGATCAGGATTATCATGTTAGATTTGAACACAGATGATGTCTTCATGCATTTAGGCCAGGTCGGGTCAGGTCAGGTCAGGTCAACCAGTAAAGGTATTCGTAGTAGGTGGCAACCGCCTCTGACAGCTTCGTAACATGTTACAAAGGCACCAAAACTACTTCGTAAATGTTCATATGGTTGCTAAATTCGAATTCAGCTCAAAACACTGGCCTACAAACATGTAAAACTCGAAAAAGTGAACCGAGGTCATCAAAGGTCAATGACCTGACCTGACCTTCCGGTGACCTTGACACCCACCCTAAAGCATGGGAGCAACATCATATCCCATGTTTGAACGCTTAAAACCACGAAAAGACTGCAAACGCGCCGCTAATGCGAGCCGACATACGCCGAATCGCGATTCCGGCCAAACATGGTCTCGAAAAATAGGTCACAGGTCAAAGGTCATTAGGGTCAGGGTCACGAAAATTTTAGGGTAGGTGTAAAATTGATTAACGCGAGGGTACTGAAAGTTTCGTCGCGATCGGCCGCTTTTTACGCGAGTTATTCGTGAAAAACCGAGGGGGTCCGTTCGACCCCCCCCTATACGGGCGAGGCTGCCGTCGGCTTCCTGGGACTGTACTCTTTTCCTCGGCGTTAGTTATGGGTTACATAATGCCTACATAGTCATACCTTTCCCGTATTGTAGATCGCTGGCCACTGGTCGTCTGTGTCGTAATAGAGCAGCAGCTTTTGCACTGCGTACTTCTGCAACAAGAGAAACACGGGTATTGTCAGTCTGTACCGGTACTGTCATAACGACACGATACTATAGAATCTGGTGAGCATGGTTTAATCGCATGGCTCAAATTCTGTGGTTCATGCTTTGTTCTACCCGAGTAAATGCAATTGTTTTTATTGTTTTACTTACCGCATCGTATTCTATCTGATAGGAAAACTTGCCCTCTCCAGACAGGAAGCAGAACCTCGTCAGAAACGCCCATTGCTGTAACAAAACCGGAAAACGGGAATAGCGTCACGGGCACCCACTTAAGTACAGTAAAAGCTGCGTCAGGAACGAATTGTTCATTATCCAAACACGAAAACATTGACATGACCAAATCCGTTTCTGATCAATGAGCGAATGACATGGTTGGGGCCTTTTGTTCGTGGCTTATTGTCACCACCATGACCAGGCGAATGCTGCTGTCCCACCCGACTCGATGACTGTGATATTACCCGCATTATTGTCATGAAGGCAGTGACAAACCACGGATATGCTGCTGACATTCGATGTTGATGCTATGCCTCAGCTCCTATTTATTATTACTGCGCAGTAGCACTCCATGTAAGCTCCATTTAAGCTCATCAATCTTCTGATCGCTGTTGAATGTGCACCTACATTACATATTCGGAGTCCATTTTCCACGAGTAGGATACCCACTTCATCAAAAGCTGGTAGATCTAAAGCAATATATGTAAATCTGACTGAATAAATGCAGCAAAGACCTTTCGCTAATCGTTACTCTAAATCGTCATTTATCTATATCCTTAATTGTTAATCGTTAAATCTTTAGGTATCAAGTTAAAATTAGACACATAAATTGACCTTTTGACCTTTTGACCTTTTGCTGTATTCGCTTTCTCAAGGGCGACAATTAGGGCGAAACGTCGGGCAATTAATGTGTAATTTTAACTTGATATTTGATAACGATTTAACGGTTAACGATTTACGACAAATGATGATTTAGAGTAACGATTGACGAAAGGTCTTTGCTGCATTTATACAGTCAACCTGTCTCTTTTCATCAATAAAATCTATTGAGCGTCAATTGCCGATACTTCAGGTGAATTTCTAAATGATTAAACGGGCATAACGTATTATAGCGTTGGTTGAAGGTTAGATCCTTGCGAGTTGCGACGCTATGGTCACAACTGACAAAGCTGCCGTTTCTATTTTTGCCGCTCTCTGGCTGCCCTAGCTACTGTTGGAAAATGAAAGACTTGTCCCAACGCAAAATTAATATCAAATATGCCGTGTTATTTTACTTTTACACGACGCAATGAAATATTTATGTGCCTTCACAAACACTGTGGGGAATATATAAATAAATATAGGACATTGGAAAGTGTTGGCCTGAGATTATCATTGAAAATATGTTTAACAAGGCCCATCACACGTCGTTCTATGCCGCCGTAACCGCGTTTCTCCGCTTCGTGCAATGCGGCACAGCAACCTTACAGGCGTTTTACTCCTGCCATCTAGCGAGAGGAGAGAGAACCACAGCGAGGACGGGATATGCGGCACAGCATCATGTCAGGCGTTTTACTTCTGCCATCTAGGGAGAAGACAGAGAACTACGGCGATAGGATAGGAATGAGCTATGCGGTACAGCATCTTGTCAGGCGTTTTCACTTCTGCCGTCTAGCGAGAGGAGAAAGAACTACAGCGGTAAGGCAGGAATGGGTAGGTATACGGCACAGCATCCTCTCAGGCGTACAGACGCTGAGCTTGCGAGCTTTATCTATCATTATGTGTTCTTCGTGACGCTGAGACAATCAAACGCAGACTAAGCTCGCTGTCATGACCCGCCATGTTGGCATATTGCACAGTAAATTCATCATGCTACCCGCGTTGCTGAGTCCATTCTATAACTCTGCTTCGATCAGTTCAGCCAAATTCGCTTATTTTCCTTCTCTCATCATCTCGTTCTCAAATCGTTTAGTGCATAGCAACTATCGTCTAAAACATGTTCAGCTTGGCCAAGAAGTTACTCATGAATACGTTTTTGGCACTTTTTAATCCGTATGTAACTATGATACGTAGCCGGCTCTCGACACTGAGGTTAAATGTGACTGAAGTTTTATGCTACTGCGGCAGTCGGTCCGGCACCTCTACTCTCTATATAGAAAAGAAAACACCGAACCACTGACTTGAGCATAGGCGTCACATACCTCTCTGGTGCGGAGATGGCCCTGCACCACTTTGGCCGTTGACCTTGGTATCCAGATAGCCAGCAGTAGCAGCATCAGCGGCAGTGTCGGTGGCAGCTCCATGACAGTTTCCAAACGTCCCTCACAGACTGTGTGCGGAGACTCCGATCACCGTACAGGAAGACAACGCCTTGACTCTCCCGTAACCTGGCGCGGCTCTGTTCGTAGGCTGCAGCGGCTCCGTCCGTACACTTCGGCGCGGTACACACACTGCCACAGCTCCGTCCGCTCCGTGTCGCAACTCCGTCCGTTCAGTGCGACAACTCCGTCCGTTCGCTGCGGTAGCTCTGTCCGTACGCTGCGTTGATTCCGTTTATACACTGCTTTTGCTCCGTCCGTGTACTGTCGCAGCTCCGTCCTTGCGCTGCGACTCCGTTCGTACACTGTAGCAGCTCCGTCCGTAATCTTGCCGAGTCTCCGTCTGTACACTGCTTTAGCTCGGTCCGACGGCCGCAGCACGTCTGTGGCGGCTCGTCAGGACATCACGGCACCTCCAGCGCCGCTAATCGATCCATTGACCCGCCGCTGCACGAACAGGTGCGTCCGGGCCTCCCCTGGCACGTGACGTCACGTGACCCACCGGACCGCGCTGATCGAGAGCCGGGAGACTGACACGCAGACGGCAGAGAGACCAGGAGCTGAGAGGTCAGCCTCGGGTAAGGTGCCTTAGAGCTCAGAACAGCCGGGCCAAGGACCTCCGTCGCACATTTCCTGATGTTACAGGCACGCGAGGTGGCAGCGGCGGTGGTAGTGGCACGCGGTTTCCATGGAGACGACTAGAAACACGGGCCTGCCGAAACTGGCGCCGTCGGCCGCGCACCCCACCACATTAGGGCCGCGGTTCGGACTATGCTTTGGTGCGCACTGCGCCGGCCAACAGTGCTGTACCAGGGATGATGTGCACATTCGTCGTCCCTGAGAGACACTGTCACAGCGCTACAGTTCAGATTTGCATCCGCCCATCGGATGAACACAAAGCAATTACGGGTATCGTGTAACGTGGCGTAGCATTACATGACATCAATAGTTGACGATGGGGGAGGGGGGACGAGGTGTACCGCGTTCGTCCGTTGGTGCACCGCCCGTGCACCGAGGGCGAGGTCAGAGTTCAATGACCCAATTCCTGTCTGGTTGATTGCCTACTTTAATTAGGCATATCGAATTAGCAGATATCACCTAATTCCAATTATGTTACATAGATGGGTATTCCATGGGTAAAGAAGGTAGGTATTATCCTGCACAAGATGCTGCTTATGGGAAATAACCCTTACCACAGCAGCAGTCTGGGTACCTAGATCTGGGCAGTGATCGATTCAGTTGACGTAATCGTCGACCACAAGCGACAAGGCATGCACCCGGGGCGCCCACGATCTTGCCATAAAGTGATAGTTCAAGTTTTGTTTAAGTAGGTATAGTCCTCCAAGTGATAAATCGAGTTGGAGTGCCAGATAAAAATTGAAACAGTGTTTGTGTAACCGTCTGTTGTAAAATGATACCTTTTAATGGCTATCATACGCATCCGAAGTCCATTTTATTTTTCAATGAAATATTGCTTGCATAGGTTTTATGACCTTCATAATAATATTTCTAAAGTTTTCAACTGCCTTTTGTGCCCCTCACCAACAAACATAATTTAGTAGCAGTTATTTATTCGGCTTTTTGACGCTTATAGCGATATTGCGACAAAACAATGTCTAGAAATGTGTGTTGTGGTGGCGTTATGTAATAACAACGCGTGCGAAGTGGTCTCAGGTTGTGATTGTAAGTTGGTGAGGGGGTCGTTGGAGTAGCTGCTGGAAATTATTGAATTGATTGTACCTATCTGTGTGGTAACGTTACTGAGAACATTTTCAGAACCTTAAGATGATTCCGGTGGTCTCAGAAGTAGGCATATCATCAGTTTCCTGTTTCATTATGCCTGGTGGCTTGTTTTTGTGTGCTGCTGTTACATAGCATAAGACTAAGAGGCTCAGCTTGGCTATTTTGGAGACGTCTGGAGACTCCAAGCTGCGACATGCAGTTATAGTTAAAACATAGTCAGTAATTGAGTATTGTTTTAATTAATAAATTCTTTTTCCCAGCTGTTTTGAGTATGTTTGCTTAACCTTATGATGTATTCTTGTTTCAGGCTGGTCCTTTTGCAGCTTAATATTTGAGATCACAAACTGCAAGACAAGATGTCTGGAAAGAAGGTTGCGATTGCTCTTCTTAGAAATGATCTACGGTACCTTGATAACGAGGTAAAGACTCAGGAGATCAAGCTGCTGCGATGGGGTTCGTGAAAGCACCCAGGCCATTATTGTTATTTGTTCTGTTACCAAACACTTAATGCTATTGCATGAGGTTCTGTTGTTGTCAGATGTACTTATAACCCATAAGATCACCAATGTCCGTAACTGATACTGACCTGAGTTTTTTCCATCCCAAGGTACTGCACAAGGCACACCACTCTGCCGAGCTGGTGGTCCCACTGTACTGTTTCGACCCGCGTCATTTCGCCTCGACACACCACTTTGGCTTCCCGAAGACAGGCGCTCACCGGTCGCGGTTCCTGCTGGAGAGCGTGCGTGACCTGCGGGGTCGGCTGGCGGAGCGCGGCAGCGGCCTGGTGGTGCGCTCCGGCACGCCGGAGACGGCCGTGCCGGAGCTGGCGGCCGCGCTGGCCGGTCACAAGCTCTCGCTGGTACTCCAGAAGGAGGCCACCGATGAGGAGGTGTGCGTGGAGCGCGCGCTGGTCGAGCGATGCCGCGCGCTCGGTGTGCCCGTCCACACCGTCTGGGGCGCCACGCTCTACCATCGCGACGACCTGCCGTTCGCCGTGAACCAGTAGGTCCATAACGCAGGCTACCGTAAGGTATTTGCTTTCAGCCAATTGTACAATTAGAAGGGCTGATTATCTAGGTCACTTCTGCATGCTCACGTTTTTTGTAATACCACTATTTACTTTGTCAAACTTGAGTATATTTATGGCTCGCTTTGGTTATTAATAGCCCTCTGTATATTTTAAACAATGTCGCTCGGTCCGGTCCTGCCTTCCTCGGTTGCCCTGAGCGCCCACTGTGGCGAACTTCAAGTGTTGCCATCTGCTCTCTGCCCCCTCACAACCCCTTCCCTGCCGTCTCGTCCTGCCCGCTCTCACTGACCGTGTGCTTCCCCTCCGCCCAGGACGCCGGACGTGTACACGCAGTTCCGTAAGGCGGTGGAGGGCGGCGGGCGCGTGCGTCCGCCGCTGCAGATGCCGGACCGGCTGCGGCCGCTGCCGGACGGACTCGAGTGCGGCCCGCTGCCGGCGCCGGCTGACCTCGGCCTCCCCGAGGGGGAGTCGCCCGGGGAGCCGCGCACCGCCTTCCCCTGGCCGGGAGGCGAGACGTCCGGCCTGGCCCGCGTGCACCACTACCTCTGGGAAACAGACGCCGTGGCAACCTACAAGGAGACCCGTAATGGACTCAGCGGCGAGGACTACTCGACCAAGTTCAGTCCATGGTGAGTGTGGCTGCGGTCGATAGCGTGTAGTGCGACCTCTGTGGGCGGTTAGAGGGGTGATCTGCCGGCTGATTGCGGTGCCCTCTGTGGGCTGACGGCGCAAACTCTGACTGCTAGTGCTGCTTACCGACCTGTGCTGGTTTACGTGTCGTTGGTACCGATTATATTGTTCTGTGGAGCCTCACACTGTGAGTGTAGGGTCGGAGTTTGCGGGTGTCTAATGTTCAAGTATTGCTCTGCCTTTCCAATTGGTTACATGTAGCTATATTTGCTGTCTCAGCTCACACGTTTACAGTGGCGACACTGAATTCACCCGCCCACGGAACCGATCACCGTCTGAAGTGATAGTGCCTAAAATCTCTACTGCGCTGTCTGAGATTTTTACCACTACCTCCGTCTGCAGGCTGTCGCTGGGCTGTCTGTCGCCGCGTTACATTCACTCGGAGATCGGCCGATACGAGAAACAGCGGACGGCCAATAAGTCCACCTACTGGGTGCTCTTTGAGCTGCTCTGGAGGGACTACTTCAGGTCAGTTACGAACCGACCGCCATCCGCTCTTTTACTGTTATCAAGGTGCCTGTGTGTTACATGTTTGATGGGGATTTCTATGCGTATCGCGTTGTCCGTCGTAGGTCGGTGGAAGGAGCCGAAAGTCATCGTTTATTCAGTGGTTCGGGTCGGGATGGGCGGGAGTGGGACGTTGCCATGCTCCTGGCAGTTACTGGCCGGTTGGTCTATAGACTGTGACTGACTGTTGCAGTCACTGTTGGTTCAATAATTAATTGTGACTTATTAATGACTTATCACCGCCGTCTGTCCTTTCCGTCCCAGGTTCGTGGCTCTCAAGTACGGTAACCGTCTCTTCCACCTGACCGGTCTGCAGAACAAAAAGGTGCCCTGGAAAAACGACATGGAGGCCTTCAATCGGTGGAAAGGTGGGTCACTTGGGGATCGATAAGGGCGAGGCCAGGCGAGGGCCTACTTAACTCTACCGCCTAAGTAAGGCCATAGTGTAATAAATAACAAGTGAAGACACTTCACCAATGTATAATGCAAACTCATGTAACAACTTTTCTTCAGCTGGAAGTGGGCTATGTAGCTACTCACGCTGCAGTATGACGTAATAAAACGTCATAAAACGTCACTCCCTAAATCATTGAACTGATTGAACGTTATCCTCAGCCTACATCATCGTCTTCCATGCCCCGTCATGATGGATTTTTTAATTGACTTAGACATGAAAACCCACGTTTTTTATTTCACTAAATGAAGGTAAATAATCCCAGTCTCTTACAGAATGCCTTGGTACACACAAAATCAGAGGACATCGATGTGCCACAGCCCGATGAAAGTGCTCTTCGATGTAACTGCGCTCCAACATGCTGAACATCGTATCAGCAATCAGCATTCACTCTGTTCCGTAACGTTACTCTCGAGAACCCACTGTTTTTATTGCATGTATGGTCGCTTACTGATTGCAATTTGACAGAACCGGTATGAAAATATTCAAAAACAGAGGACATCATAACACCACCGGCTCCTAAAAAGTGTAGGGTATTTTGACAACGTCTCTAAAGCATAACCCATTTTGATCGGTCCTATGAATGACATAGACTCGAGAACCCATGTTTTTTATTGCATTTAATGAAAGAAAATAATCGTATTTTCTTATAAAATGCGTGAAAATATTCAAAATCAGAGGACATCGATGTGCCACAGCCCGATGAAAGTGCTCTTCGATGTAACTGCGCTCCAACATGCTGAACATCGTATCAGCATTCACTCTATTCCGTAACGTTACTCTCGAGAACCCACTGTTTTTATTGCATGTATGGTCGCTTACTGAATGCATTGTGACAGAACCGGTATGAAAATATTCAAAAACAGAGGACATCATAACACCACCGGCTCCTAAAAAGTGCAGGGTATTTTGACAACGTCTCTAAAACATAACCAATTTTGATCGGTCCTTTGATTGACATAGACTCGAGAACCCATGTTTTTTATTGCATTTAATGAAAGAAAATAATCGCATTTTCTTATAAAATGCGTGAAAATATTCAAAATCAGAGGACATCGATGTGCCACAGCCCGATGAAAGTGCTCTTCGATCCAACTGCGCTCCAACATGCTGAACGTCGTATCAGCATTCACTCTATTCCGTAACGTTACTCTCGAGAACCCACTGTTTTTTATTGCATATATGGTCGCTTACTGAATGCATTGTGACAGAACCGGTATGAAAATATTCAAAAACAGAGGACATCATAACACCACCGGCTCCTAAAAAGTGTAGGGTATTTTGACAACGTCTCTAAAACATAACCAATTTTGATCGGTCCTTTGATTGGCATAGACTCGAGAACCCATGTTTTTTATTGCATTTAATGAAAGAAAATAATCGCATTTTCTTATAAAATGCGTGAAAATATTCAAAATCAGAGGACATCGATGTGCCACAGCCCGATGAAAGTGCTCTTCGATCTAACTGCGCTCCAACATGCTGAACATCGTATCAGC